AAGGAAGGCGGTTGCGTTGCGTTGCGTTGTGGAGGGGAGGGGTTGCGTGCGTGACGTGTGGAGGAGGAGGGGTGCGTTGCGTTGCCGTGTGGAGGAGGGCCGTGGTGAGCTGTCGTGGTGAGAGGAGGAGGAGGGGTCGCGTGCTGATCAACGTGTGGAGGAGGGTGCGTGGCGTGCGTGTGAGCGAAGCAGGGTCTCCGTGCGTGCGTCTGCCCCTGCGCCTGGAGGGAGGGGTGCGTGCGTGCGTACGTGTGGAGGAGGAGGGGTGCGTGCGTGCGTGTGGAGGAGGGGGTTGCTGTGCGTGCGTTGTGTCGAGGAGTGGTGTGCGTGCGTGCGGTGTGGAGGAGGTGCCCCCCCGTGCGTGCGTGTGGAGGAGGAGGGATCCGTGGCGTGCGTGCCCACCGTGTGGAGGAGGTACGTAGCGTCCAATGCGTGTGGAGGGGAGGGGTTTGCGTGCGTGCGTGTGGAGGAGGGTGGTGCAGTGCGTGCGTGTGGAGGGAGGAGGGCGTGCGTGCGTGCGTTGTGGAGGAGGGTACGTGCGTTGCGATGTGGAAGGAGGGGTGGCGAATGCGTGCGTGTGAGGAGGGTGGTGGTGCGTTGCTGTGGGGAGGAGGGTGGCGTGCGTGCGTTGAAGAGGAAAAGGTACGTTGCGTGCGAGGTGTCGAGGAGGGGTGCGTCGGTGTGTGCGAATGTGGAGGGAGGGGTGCGTGCTGTTGCGTGTGGGAGGAGGGTGCGTGCGTGACGTGTGGAGGAAGAGGGGTGCAGTGCGTGGCGTTTGTGGGAGGAGGGCTGTGCGGGGCGTGGTGTGCAGAGAGAGGGCGTGCGTGCGGTTATTGCGTGTGGAGTGAAGGAGGGGTGAGTGGTGGTGTGGAGGATAAGGTGCGTGCGTGCGTGTGGAGCGGAGGGGGCGTGCGTGTGGCAGGGGGGGTTGCTGCGGCGTGTGGAGGAGGAGGAGGGCCAGTGCGTGCGTGTGGGAGGAGGGGTGCGTTGCGTGCGTGCTGTGAAGGAAAGAGAGGGGCTGCGTGCGGTTGTGGAAGAGGGGTTGGTGATCCTGGCGTGTGGCAGGAGGAGGGGTGCATGCTGTGGAGGAGGAGGGGGCGTGCGTGCTGTGGAGGACGGCCGTGCGTAGCGTGCGTCGTGGAGTAGGGAGTGCGTTTGCGTGCGGAATTCGTGGACGCGAGGAAGGGGTGCTGCGTGCGTGTGGAGGATAGGTGCGTGCCGGATGCGTGTGGAGGAGGAGGGGTGTTGCGGTGTCGGGCGCCCGTGTGGAAGCGAGGGGTGCGTGCGTGCGTGTGGAGGAGGGGTGCGTGCGTGCGTGTGGAGGAGGAGGGGTGCGTGCGTGCGTGTGGAGGAGGGGTTGGATGCGTTTGTGGAGGTAGGGAGTGGCGTGGCGTTGGCGTGTGGAGGAGGAAGGGTGCAGTGGTGCGTGTGGACGGAGGGGTGCGTTGGTGTGCGAGGAGGAGGAGGGCCTGCGTGCGGTGCGTGTGGAGGAGGAGGGCGTGCGTGCCGTGCACGTGTGGAGGGATAGATGCGTGCTGTGCGTAGTGAGGAGGAGGGGTGGTAGCGTGCGTGTGGAGGAGGGGGGCGTTGCGTGGTAGTGGGAGGAGGGGTGCGTTTGCAGTGCACCCGTGTGGAGGAAGAGGGGGGTGCGTGGCCGTTGTACGTGTGGAGGAGGGGCGAGTGCGTTCGCGTGTGAGGAGGGGAGGGTGCGTGTGCGTGGCGTGTGGAGGATAGGGTGCGTGCGTGCGTGTGAGTGAGGACGGAGTGCGTTGCGTGCGGAATGTGGAGAGGAGGGGTGCGTGCGTGTGGAGGAGCGGTTGTGCGTGCGTGGCGTGTGGGAGGAGGGGTGCGTGCGTGTGGAGGAGGTGCGTGCGATGCGCGTGTGGAGGAGTGGATGGGAGGGTGCGTGGCGTGTGAAGGGTGACCGGTGCGCTTGCGGTGCTGTGCGAGGAGGAGGGGTGCGTACGTGCGTGTGGAGGAGGGGTGCGTGCGTGTGGAGGAGGAGGGGTGCGTGCGTGCGTGTGAGGAGGCGGGCTTGCGTCGGTGCCGTGTGGAGGGAAGAGGGGTGCGTGGTGGTGTGGAGGAGGAGAGGTGTGCGTGCTGCTGGAGGAGGACGGGGTGCGTGGATGCTTTGTGAGGAGGAGGAGAAAGAAGTGCGTTGCGTGACGTGGTGGGAGGAGAAGTAGGTGAGGTGTGCGAACGGCGGGAGGGTGTCGTGGGTTTGGAGGGAGGTTGGCGAAGTGGTGTTGGACGGAGGGTGGGTGTGATGGGATGGCGGGAAGGGGTGGTGTGGTCGCATGGGAGGTAGTGTGTGAGTGGATTGCTAGAGGTGTGTGGAGGGAGGGGTGCGTTGTAGGTGAGAGGGGAGGGGAAAGGTGCGTGCGGCCGGTAAGGTGTGTGGGGGGAAGGATGTGTGGGGACGTGTGTGTGTGTGTGTGGGTTGCGTGTGGATGGAGGGGTGTCTGCGTGTGGAATGAGGTAGGGTACGTGTTGTTGGGGAGGTAGCGGTGTGTGTGTGGGGGTGGTACCCCGTAGAACGAGTGTGGGATGGAGGGGGGTGCGGTGTTGATGGGGAGGTAGGATGTGTCCTCCTCCTCCACACGCACCTGTCGAACGTCTCGGCCGGTGCCGACGCGATGCCTCTCATCAGTGCATCGACGCCGCGCGGATGCTTGCCGCTGTAGAGCACGAACGGACGGAAGAACAGGTCGGACAGGTCGATGTCGTCGCGCGGATTGTAGTGGGAGGCTCCGGGCCGCGCCACCTGATTCGGCAGCAGCGTGTGTCCGAAGCGGAAGGCGGCCGTCGCGAAGACATTCGTCGACGACGGATCGACGTTCTCGTCGTAGCCGTACCCGTAGCCGTTGTCGACGAGACTCAGTCCGTTCTCGTCCATGTAGCGCTTGCCGAGGACGACGGGCAGGAACTCGTTGTAGGTGATGTACTGGTTCATTGCGACGATGACGCGACGCGACTCCTGATAAATCGTCTCGTCGTCCCAGTGCGGGTTCAGCTTTCCGAGAGCAGACGCCATACGGTTGTGTTCTCGCATCCAGATGGTGTGCATCGACGCGAGGGCCATCTGCTCGTTGACGCGTTCGTCGCCTGCGTGCGGCAGCGGGAGGAAGGTGTGAGAGTGAAGGGTTAAGGGGGTGCGGTAATATTGGAGATTGATGAGCGGGTTTTGTTATTGATGATGTTGTTCTTTTTGTTTTCTTTTTTCTTTTCTTTTCTCCTCATTATTATTCTTATTATTTATTATTTATTATTTATCATTTATTATTTATTATTTATTATTTATCATTTATTATTATTAATAAATAATAATAAATAATAATCATCATGATCGTTATGCTTTATCGTACAGCAGTGAATAAAAACGAGATTGTTCTTAATCACTCCTAATATTATATTGTTACCGCTGTTTTCTGGCTAAAATGCCATTCCTTTGCTCTCCGTGTGAGCTTCCGCCACTTCATTACGCTTCACACGATAAAGAAACTCGGGTAAAACTCATTTCCAATCCGATCAAACATCATTCCTTTCGGGGCTTGTGGTCTAGATATTCAAGCTTGTGCGTCTATGCATGGGGGCGCGCGCTGCGTGGAAGATATATAATCGGCCTAGGAAGAGCCTCAAGACTCATCTCTGTCTCTATGTATAACGCACACGCACCCTCCCCCACCCACCCTCCCGCGCGTACATTCGCGTCACCCTCTCCCTCCCCCTTTCTCTCTACCTGCTTCGAAACACTTGATGAATCGGTGGTTCTCGGGTATGCAGGCATCGATTCCCGAGGCGAAAGGAAGCAGAGGTTTCAGTCTGGATCCTTCTGGGTGGTTCCTCCAACGCATCAGACCTGCATGCGCGCAAGATAAAATCAACAGCACGCTTAGCACCCGAACAGCCACAGGAATGCGTACCGTTCTCTCCTCTAAGTCTACACGGTATTCTTAATCCTATAATTCATAATCCATAATTCATATTCATAATCCTATAATTCATAATCCTAGTGTGAGAGCCTCTCTGTCGCGTGTTCACGGATGAATGGGCTAGCTCTTAGCTAAGCTTAGCTAGAGCTGCTGCGGTAGTGCCGTACCTCCGCGGAACAGCCTCAGTCTGGCAGCTTTCTCCTCCGTAGATCCGTAGATGTTGGACGTGTCAATGTACGACGTTAATTCATTCATCTGTTCTCTCACGCCTGAAATCGCCGCGGCGAAATCGTAATTATTATCTTGAAGATTTCTAATAATTTGTAAGCAATTTGATTGGAATTACTATTCGTTTTCCCGCTGCGGCTTGCTTTCTCGCGTACAGGTTTAGAGATTGATGAGATTTAACTCCGGATTTAACTGCGAGAATGGCGCGAGCAGAAAAGAAAATGGCCTACTTTTGCGGTTTTGCGAGTTATAAGGTTTTCGGTTTGTGCGTGAAATATTGTGTTCGCACACTCACCACACACATGCTCACCCTTTTACATATGCACACGCGCACGCACACTCGCACACAAACACGTGCATACGCGCGCACATGCACACAGACACACGTGCACGCGCACACACACGCTCGCGTACACGCACACACACGCACAATCAACGCTGTCCTTTTCACTAATGGGAAAATAGGCTTGTAGGTCAAAAATAACTCATATACATATTATTGTAATCGTTTCGGTAGAACAGACGAAATGACTCAGCAGATAATTTTAGTAATAATTTATACCCACAGGGTGTGTCAACAATTAGATTATGTATTGTTTAGATACAGCTCGCTGGCGCGGCACTCACCACGCCCATCACACAGCACAACACTAAACACACAATCACAGCCTCGGGGCACCACACAGCACACACACACAACACACGACACACATTCCAACACACCTGGCCACACACACACACAACACACAACAACACAACCACACAACGTACACAGCACATCCACACAACAGCACACAACACACCAACAAACACAATCACCATTCACCCCAACACACTCACACCTAACCCCAGTTTGAGTAACTCGACGGGGGTTAAGCTCGAGCGGGAGAAACTGAGACATATCTCTCCGTAGCGCGAGTACCAAGAGTCGTTGCGCGGTACCATGATGGGAAGCAGGCTGGGTGGCGTAGGTGCGGAGGTGAAGGATCCGTCCTTGGCCGACACAGGGCAGCACTCCAGCGTCGACATGTTGTAACCTATAGACGCCGCACGCAACAACGTATAACAACAACGTCAACAGCCAAACAAGAGTGTGCGTGTGTGTGTTAGTGGTGTTTCCTGGTCGATACCAGGAATAAGAGTAACACACACACGCCGCACGCGAGGTGCAGCGCAGCACAACACAGCTACGACACAGGCGCGGCGCGCACACACTACAGTACACACACAGCACGATCACACACACTACGGGACCACACAACACATCACACCACAAATACAACTACTCAATTTAATAAATTTATAGTATTTTATCTGTATATCCTGAAGAAGACTACCACACGCACAGATTTATCAATTAGTACGTTAAATGTACATATCTATCAGATGTGTTGTGGGCAGCGTCGTAGTATAGAATGGTGTCGATTCTCGCTATAGACTTTTCGATGTTTCTCAGCCAGGTCAATACATAGCCCATGCAATACGTAGTGACATTCACTGATTAAAAGGATATTTCCCAGTCTAGTTCTAGATCCCTCCACTATGCGCTACATACATACCTGAACACTAACCCCAGGCCTTTCATACGCTATCTACCCTAGCAAGTACCGCTATCTATTTCCACTCTACCTACCGAACCGTACCAACTATACCCTACCTACTCGATCTACCTATCCTACCTACTCCTACCTACCGTAATCCAATACCTACCTACCCTAAGATCCTAGGTAGGACCCTACCCTAACTACCCTACTACGCCTACCTACCTAAGCCTACCCTACCTATCCTAACCTACACTCTTACCCTACCATACCTGACCTTCCTACCGCTACTACAGCTACCCTACTAGCCTACCTAACCCTACCGCTAGGCCTACCCTACGCTACCCTACCGCTAGCACCTCCTACCTACCCTACCTACCTAATCCACCTACCCTAGCCTAGACCCTACTAACCCTACGCCTAACCCTACCTATCCTACACTCCTGATCCTACCCTACCGCTACTACCCTACCCTTCCATACTAAGCCCAGCCATTACCATTCACTCATCACAGGCGGTCGTCATGGGGGTCAGGGTGATGTCGTGAGTCAGTCCATGTTCGGCACATGCATGACTTGATGTCACTGCTGAGCGAGGTGAATGGACGATGTCGTGATCGGACGTGGAGACGGCCGACGCTTGGGAAGGGGCTGTCCGTCACGGGAAGCTCGCGGACTTGTCGACACCTGCTCTGCGAGAAGGCTGATTACAAGGTGAGGTTATATTAACAGCTCAGGTTAATTACGGTGACGGTAGTTATAAGAGGAGAGGAGGCGAGTCGGAGAGTGAGTTTTTCGTACGGACAAGCATCCGATGAGTTGAAATGTCGAAAAGTTTTGTTAAGAGGAAAGATTTGGAAGGGCGATCTGAGAGAGAGGCTCAGATAGTGGTACTGACGGAACATGAAAAGGCGAGAGCTGAGCGAGAGGAGAGAGAGAGAGGAGACGAGCGAGAGAGAGAGAGAGAGAGAGAGAGAGAGAGAAGGAGAGCAGAGAGGAGAGATAGAAGAGAAGAGAGAAAGAGAGAAAGAGAGAGAGGAGAGAGTGGAGAGAAGGGGGGAGATGTAGAAAGAGAGAGGAGAGAGAGAGAGAGAGGAGAGAGAGAGAGAAAGAGAGAGAGAGAGACAGACAGGAGAAGAGACGACAGAAGAGAGAGAGAGGCGAGAGAGAGAGCGAGAAATGATGGACATGATGAGGAGAAATAGAGGAGGCGGAAAGTACTAGTGAGAGCGTGTGAGTCTCCGGCGGATCGTCCGCCGGTTTTTCGTCAGCCGGCACGACGCCTGATGATTAAATATCGTCGTTGGAAAGGGAATCCGGGGATATAATATTATATAATACTCTAATAATAACTAGATTATATATATATATAAATAATATATATATTATATTTATATTATATAACAGATAGGCGAGAGCGTGAGACTTGAGAGGGACACCACAAGCGGGAGAAAAAAGGAGAGAGAGAGACACGGCGACAGTAATGTAGCGATGTACGAAGACGAAGGAAGTAAGCGACCACACACACATACACAACACAACACAGACAACACACACACTACACCACACGCAGCACGCAGCAAGGAACGCGCACTGACACATCGGGGCGGGGCACAGCTTTCACGACCCACGCACCACACCACGAAGCACGTCACCCACGACATAACCGCCACCACGAGACTCCCCACATCACCACTCAACATCGCGTAGTCGGCGGCAGCGAGTCTCCTGAAGGGAGTTTCGCGCATGCCGCCAGGTTCGGGTAGCGCAGGTTGTTGCACGAGCGTCGACCGTTCGGTACTTGCTCGGGGTGACACCCCACCGGCTGAAGCCGCGTCGGCCGCATACCCGACAGGTAACGTACTGCTAACGTCCATCTTGGCATTCATACCAGTGTTCGCGCTGTTGTCAGTCGGTATCTGCACGCCGGCGAGGGCCAAAAGAAAGTAGGGAGAGAGAGAGAGAGTTTATCGGTCGTGCATGAGCGCGTAATGAGAGAGAGCGGATCAGTATTTGTAGAGAGTATTATATTTTCGCGAGCGGAGAGAAATAGAAGAGAGAGAGAGAGAGATGAGAAGATGAGAACGAGAGAGCGGCGTAAGAGAGAGAGAGAGAGGAGAGAGAAAGAGAGAGCGGACGAGAGAGAAGAGAGAGAGAGCGAGAGGGGGAGGAGGAGAGAGAGAGAAGGCGAGCGAGCGAGCGAGAGAAGAGCAGAGAGGAGAGAGAGAGAGAGAGAGAGAGAGAGAGAGAGAGAGAGAGAAAGCGAGAGAGAGGGAGAGGGGAGAGTTGTTACGCTCGGTGTTAACACACTGAGAAAACACGGATCACGGTATTTTTTTATACGGTATACGACTCTTGGAGGAAAGGCCAGAGAATATACTTGTTACAGCGAGAGAACACGTATTACGTTCTTATTATAGGACAGAAAAGGGAATATCTGTGTAACGGTAGGGAACACGTACCCCCTCTTTTTTATAGACCAGGCAAGTTATATCCTTGTAAAAGCAAATACCACGTATACCCAACCCCCTGTTATAAGGCTAGGCAAATAAATATCCTTGCAAAAGCAGAGACCACGTATGCTATTTAGGCCATACAGAACATCTCGTAACACTAATTACACTCGTAAACTAATTACACTCGTAACACTCGTAACACTAATTAGGGGCCTACTCGTAACACAATCGTAAGCGATTGGAATTCCGCTTGCTACGATCATTAGGATTTCCTGTTACACCAGACAAACATTTTTTTCCGCAAGGTGTCGCGCATGGGCACATCACGCCCGCGGCTAGTGTGGTAGCTACCGCTACTCACGAATGTCAGGGAACACTAGCCGAGTAACCGGCGTTGCTCGGGGAAAAAAACGCGTAGAAACAACTTTTAGAGCAAATTCAGCCACATTTATCCTACTAAAAAAACGAACTTTGTCTTTGCATTCCGCTATTTATTGATTTCGGACCCCCAAACTTGCCACGCTGTTAGTTTATCACCCTGAGGGTGTACTAAGCACATTTAAATGGCTACACTAAAAACGAATATCTCGAAGCAAGTAAATATTAAAAGTATGTATAAAACATAGCGGTTGTTATCGCAGGCAGTATATATGCACATGGCTGCCCGCTGTAGGATTTACGTAACTTTTCACAACATCTCTTAAACTTTATCTAAAACCTGATACGAACCCTCGGCTAGGACAAACATTTCGACGAAAATAGCGATGCCTAGATCCCATGTCCTATATAGTTTCGAATCGCATTTAATACCTGGCGTGAGCGACATTGTGGCTTTTCCAGGCAATCCCGCCAAAATCCCCAGGGATTTGATAGGAAGAAAATTATAGCAGAGGGAAGGAAATAAAAGTTCTCGCTGAAATGCTGCATAGCAACGAAACGACCTTGGTCTTGGACGAGCTAGGGTCCCTATATACAGATATGTATATCTGTATATAGGGACCCTAGGACGAGCATACGGGGAAACCGGTCAGACTCTCGCGCGCGCTCTCTCTCTCTCTCTCTCTCTCTCTCTCTCCCCCTCGCTCTCTCTCTTTCTCTTTCACTCTCTCACTCACTCACTCACTCACTCATTCACTCACTTTCTCTCTCTCTTTCTATCTACCTCTCTAACTTTCTCTCTCTTTCTCTCTCTCTCTCTCGCTCGCTCGCTCGCTTTCTATCTATCTCTCTAACTTTATCTCTCTCTCCCTCTTTCTCTCTCTCTCTCGCTCGCTCCCTCGCTCCCTCGCTCGGGTGGGTAACTCTGCGCATGAACGCGTCAGCCGGGCGGCGTGTCGGCACGTACGGTTATAAAAGAGCCGTTAGCGCGCCGACGATAATTGGCAGCTGGCGGAAGATGGATGACCCGACGATGACGTTAGCTGTCGCGACACCTACTCGGCGACCGATGAACGAGAGAGAAAGAGAAAGAGAGAAAAAGAAAGAGAGAGAGAGAAAGAAAGAAAGAGATGGTAAAGAGAGAGAGAAAGAGAGAGAGAGAGAGAGAGAGAAAGAGGGAGAGAGAAAGAGAGAAAGAGAGAAAGAGATGGAAAAGAGAGAGAGAAAGTGAGTGAATGAGTGAGTGAGTGAGTGAGTGAGAGAGTGAAAG